ATCACTAGATTACATCAGTTAAACAGATGATAAACAGATGCTTTATGGTGAATTGAGGTGCTGATTCTATTTTCAATAATGTGATAGCCCATACTTGCAAACTATGATAACAAATGAAATTCCACATTCTTAACGCTGAAGTTCTCAGGATTCTGTTGCACCAGAATGTTACTTTCAGGATCCAAATATAACATAACAAGACCTTTATGATTAGAAACACACATTTACAACTTCCGCACATATAGTGAAACTAAAAAGAAAAAACGTCAAAAATGACAAACCAGAAATTAATGGTGAGAGGCAAAATGACAGAAACTTCCTATCTTAAAGCTACACTATGGACTTTTTGGAAGAAAATTAATTAATTCCAATGTAAAATCCCAATATAAGTGTGGGTACAGGAACAAGCCCTAAGGAACTTGTGGCCCTCTAGAGGTTACACAATAAATCTGCATGCGTCTTGCAGAAGAACATTGCTTTGGTTGTGCTTCAGCTCTGTCTCTGTGCGAATGAATGTGGTCTGAGGCACTGGTGTGCACATGGATACAGGGTTTCTTACCAGAGAGGATGGACAAGTTTTTATGTTTTAATACCAGAGGTTTACTTTGTATACAGATATGACGTGACAAGCACAGGAGAATAACATATGTATAAGATTTCCTGTCTAAATTATAAATCAGTATTATAAAGAAAAGTTATGGCTTGGAAGATGCATTTTTTACACTCTCTCATCAATAACAATTTGCTGTTTTTTTTATATATAAAAAAAGTTACATAGTGTAGCTTTAAGTCTGAAGATCTGAGAAGTTTAATATTCAAAATGATATAACCATGGTTACTCAACAACAGATAAAACTGAATTCTGAGTTAGGATGTTTCTGTAATATGGCTTCATATTGCATACCTTGAAGTTCTGTGGAAGCAAGCATTTCAGTGTCTCATGAGCAAAACTCACATACCTCTTAAGACGATCCTGTTAAGCAAAACATTCAGGTAGAGTCTCACTTTGAGTGAAGATAGTAAAATAACTATCAGATTCATGGTTGAAACGGCATCATAAAAAATGTTGAAGGTTAAAACGAAACAATTTTCAAAATTATTATAATGTACAAGGAACACAAAAATATTAAGCTTAATACTAAAACAAACACAAACAAGCTGATATTACCTGTACATGCCATTTGACATTGATGACCAGACTAAAATAATATAAGATGCTTTCTCTCCTTCCATCCAAGTCTCCGCGGATTGAGCAGTAACTTTGCCTGATTCAAAGCACTGTCTGTTAAATATTTCCTTAAAATAGAGGGAAACAAAGGTGCTGGACATTGTGTGTGTAACAGTTGAGGTCATTATAAAAACGTATTACACATGTAAAAGACATCAATGTGTGACCATCAATGTTTGTGATCAGTGCTCTGTATCACAGAAGGTAAAATATGAAAGTCACACACTTTCATATTTTACCTTCTGTGATACAGAGCACTGATTAATCTATCAGGTTTTGTCTTCATTTCAAGTTCCCTTTACTAAAGGTCTAAACCACAGAGCAGGATAACTCACAAAAAATACTGAACCCCAATACAAAGCTTGAAGGTAAGTTTCAGATGGCGAGTGAAGAGGTATAAGCACTAAGGGTTGTCTAAGTGAGCAGATTCAGGTGTTTTAGCAGCAGTGGAGAGATGCACTGCCCCCTGCTGGACTCCTCCACGAGAGTCTCTCCTGGGGGGATTTGCCCCAGCACGGGACGTGCTTGAGCGGCTGCTTCTGTAGCTGGGCCGTACCGAGGGCAGGAAAGGGCTAGACTCAGAGGTGATGACAATACTGGGAATCCGACCAATCGCACCTCTTGAAATTGACATGTCTGTACCGTCACCAGCCTGCAAACAGCACAGAAGAAAGTTTTGATAGATTAAATGTACCCATTGTCAATTATCAGCATTTATTGTGCATTAAAAAAGATTTTTCCTGCAGATAATACTGCTGCAGACAAGCTCATCATGATTCTAATAATTCACAATTCTCGCTTTAATTAATAAGCATTCATGTATGAAAGATGATTATTAGGGTTATTTTTTTCAAAGGCACATATTTCTCCTGCAGAAAAATGCATTTCATGAAAAAATGGAACAGTAATTTTATTGCACGCTTTTCTTCTGCAATCAGAATTCAAATTCTTTAACTAATTTAACAGCACACTGTGATTCATCAAACAGCATTCTAGCAATTTGAATATGCTTTCAGATTTTGCATGTACATTTGATTGCCTGGGCGAGTTGTTCTGCCAGTGACACCAGATAGAAAAGTTCCTGAGGTCAGCTAATTTTACAAACCATACCACCTACAGGATCCTGACTCACACTTACAGCTAAAGGGTTAGTGCGGTCCGGATGAACGAGTCCGACCACAGAGGCATCATCCACATCAAGGGAACTCTAGGTCAGAAATGAGAGAGCCAGGATAATAATCAGATGCATACACTACTGTTCGAAAGTCTGGAGTCAGAAAGTGTTTTTTAAAGAAAGCAATACTTTTACTCAGCAAGGACACATTCAATTGAGACATTTATCATGTTACAACATATTTATATTCCAAATAAATGCTGTTCTTTTGAACTCTCTATTCATCAAAGAATCC